ACCATGATCCTCACAACTTGGGATGTTAACAATCAAAATATTTTTCTACTTCACTGAGAAGTGTCTAAAAAAATTCCAGTCTATAAACCACTAGATCCAGGTAATTAATGTTAAGAGGGAGAGAGGAAATTCCTTCAACAAAAACATAACTCATGGAATCATAACAAAAACATAACTTATGGAATCATAACAAAAACATAACTCATGGAATCATAACAAAAACATAACTCATGGAATCATAACAAAAACATAACTTATGGAATCATAACAAAACACATCTCATGGAATCATAACAAAAACATAACTCATGGAATCATAACAAAAACATAACTCATAAAATCATAACAAAAACATATCTCATGGAATCATAACAAAAACATAACTTATGGAATCATAACAAAAACATAAATTATGCAATCATAACAAAAACATAACTCATGGAATCATAACAAAACACATCTCATGGAATCATAACAAAAACATAACTCATGGAATCATAACAAAAACTTATCTCATGGAATCATAACAAAAACATAACTCATGGAATCATAACAAAACACATCTCATGGAATCATAACAAAAACATAACTCATGGAATCATAACAAAAACTTATCTCATGGAATCATAACAAAAACATAACTTATGGAATTATAACAAAACATAACGTATGCAATCATAACAAAAACATAACTCGGGGAATCATGACAAAAACATAACTCATGGAATCATAACAAAAACATAACTCATTAAATTATTAAAAAAACATAACTTATGGAACGTAAAGACGCAATATTCTAATGGTCAGTTAAATTGGTCAAACCTCATTTCAGCTTGCTGCCATGACACAAGCCAGTTTTGAACTCCAGTTCGTTGCGCTTTCACCTGATATTGGAACAACTTACTTTACCGCCAATGGCGAGTGGGAACTCAGGAATACAAATGTTAATATCTTCAACCAGAGTGCTGGGATGGCTGCCTTGTCCGTGGTGGAGGTAAGTTCAGAGTATTGAGATGGGTGCCTTGTCCGTGGTGGGGGTAAGCCGGTGAGATTAATGCTGATTTCTTAGTCACAAATAAATGATGTATGTGTTAGTGTTATTGATCGTGACCGCTCTATAAAACATCAACAGTGTTTGAAATTTTCAAACTGGATTCGCCTAGAATTTTTTGTTAGCATACTGATATTAACTAATGATACAAAGCTTCTTTTTCTTAATCAATGGCCTTGAATTATCCTCTCCTGGCGTCACCAAGGTCCTTATTTTCACCCCTTCCCATGTCATCTGAAGGTTGAAACATTAACGCTGCCATGATCTTAATTTCAGGCAGACGTCCATATTTTCTATTAGTGAGCATCGTCATGCCTGCAATCTTCCATAATCTTTATTTCAGCTCGGGTTCACCATACGCAGACGTCCATATTTTCTGCTGGTCAGCATCGTCCTGCCGGTGGTCTTCCTGTCCTTTCTCAACATTCTCGTCTTTGCCATCCCGGTGGAATCAGGCGAAAAAATTAGTTTCGGTACGTAGCTAGTCGGGTTCTGAAAATTTTAACAGTTCGAAAACAGAAAAACTATCCAGAAATACTTTCTCACATACACAATAAATCTTGAACATTACCCAGCACTAATGCTCAGTTCACACGATCAAATGTTCATCTAATTTGCTTCAATTTGTTTTTCAAATTTATTTTTGAACGCACTATTTTGTTTTACCTAATAGTGCGTTCAAAACGAAATTTGACGGAAATTTGATCGTGTGAACTGATCATGACGTCAATTTCTTTGAAATTTTGAGTTTCGTCTCACGTGACGTCATCCATATCGTCTGGAGTGGGTATATCCGTCTTAACATATTCCAGGTATAACAGTCCTACTGGCTTTGACAGTGTTTATGAGCATCGTGAGTGCCATGTTGCCAAGGTCATCCACCATGCCCAAGGTCGCCATCTACCTGTTCATTCTGCTCGTCATCTCCGTCCTGACGGTTATCGACAGTATCTTTATCGTTTTTCTCTACCACATGGAAGAGGTCAGTAGCAAACATAGAATTGAATGTTGACATTGTCCGGTACAGTTTTGGCCTACCACATGAAAGAGGTCAGTAGCAAACATAGAATTGAATGTTGAAATATTCCATTGCAGTTTTGGCCTACCACATAGAAGAGGTCAGTAGCAAACATAGAATTGAATGTTGACACATTCCATTGCAGTTTTGGCCTACCAAATAGAGCTGCGTTTATCATTGATTCTTGACGATTGTCCATTTGCATTAGGAGCCTGCCATGAGCGCCAGTGATGACTTGGCTTTACACCCATGGGATTCATTATAAAATAGTTTATCATCTTTATATGGGTTTATCGTCATAGTTGGCCATCTTTATATGGGATTTATCGTTAGAGTTGGCCATCTTTATATGGGATTTATCGTCATAGTTGGCCATCTTTATATGGGATTTATCGCTATAGTTCAGGGGTCTCCAAACTTTTCAGCCCAAGAGCCGCATTAACTATCAAACAGCAGTTCGGGTGCCGACTACACACTCGAGTCCAAATAAAGATGAATCAAAACATGGATGCTGTTTTTAATCATTTATGTAATATTATTTCATTCAGTTATTATTTAATAACACATTGATACACGCTACATGAACACCTGTATTAGTAGGAATGGTGAAATTGTTTCCTGGATGCCAAAATAGCACGATTAGCAGACATTTCTGGATTTAGATTTGATGTCCCTAACATCAACAGTGACCTGAGATTATCATCGGACAAATTTGCTCTCAAATTGTTCTTCACTTATTTCGGTCTTGAAAATGTTTGTTCACACAGGTATGTTGTTCCAAAGTTTGAAAGGTACATTGATGCAAATGTTTTGACATTAGGAAAGTCTCCCTTGGGCGAAAACTAGTTAAAAACCCACCAGTCCTTTTTTGAATGTGTCCCTAAGGTGGTCATTTGCTTGCAACTCAGTAACCTCCAGGTGCAGCTCATCTGGGCAACTGGCCACATCTCATTCAAATTGGTTTTGAAAAAGTCTCACTTCTTCTGCCTTTAAATCCAAGTCAGAAAACCACTGCTGAAACTGCAGCTGGGGTATTTGATGATTTCCCATACAAATGACGTATGCAACTCCGCTGTTGCTTCAGCCATGAAGACCATCCACTGCTGAAAGTGTGTCAAGTTGTTGGCCTGTACTTGTTCCAAAACATAAGACGAGTTTGGATCTGAAGGCCTTTAGGTGGGTGTATAGATCAGAAACTAGGTTTTCCTCTTTTTGTAGTTTTAGGTTCAGAAAATTTAAATGACTAGTTATGTCTGCAGCAAAGACCAATTTCCATACCCACTCTTCATCAGACACTAATGGCCGTGGCTTGTCTTTACTTTCCAGGAAGTCACCTATTTCCTTTCTTAACTTAAATACTCTGCTCAGAACTTTCTCACAACTTAGCCATCTTATTGCTGTGTAATGTGGTAAATCTTGCGATTCTGTGTCTGTATCTTTAAACAGGTGTCTGAACTATCTATGGTAGAGCCCATGTGACCTTATTAAATTAACCCTCTTTAACACAGGATTCATTACACTGCTAATGTCATCATATTTAGCACACAAAGCTTTTTGCTGAATAATACAATGCAGGAACATTGGTTGTAGAATGTTTTTCTCATGACACATCTGCTTCACTTGTCCAACCAAGCCTTTCTTTATGCCACTCGGGTTATTTTCTCCGTAAACAGTCATGCAGTTGAGGTTAGTCCAGTCCAAGTTATAATCAGCAAATGTTTTTTTCAACTTATTGAATATATCCTCTCCGGTAACAGTGTTGTACATGCTATGAAGGGAAGCCAGCTCGTGTGTTATGTTCATGTCTTCATCCACAGCTCTAACGAACACAAGCAGTTGGGAGGTAGAACAGCTGTCCAGCGATTCATCCATTTCAATTAAACATTGGCGAAACTTGCTAGCATTTTTCGCTATTTGAGTCACAATGTTTTCACCCATGTCTGCAACACAGGGGGCGTTATATCGTCTCATTGACTAATGAAAGGAAGTAGAAAAACTAAGCAGCGAATAAGGCTTTGCCAAGTAATGATCGGTTAGAAAGCAACGCAATACTGCGTGCCTCTATTTTAATTCGGTAAAAGTATAACGTCCACGTTAGCAGCGTCTGTTCTTGGCAGGATACACGTACATTGCCGTAATTTTTTCAGTAGAAAAAAAAGATATCATGCGGCCCGCGGGCCGGTGTTTGGAGACCCCTGCTATAGTTGGTCATCTTTATATGGGATTTATCATTATAGTTGGCCATCTTTATATGGGATTTATCGTTATAGTTGGCCATCTTCATATGGGATTTATCGTTAGAGTTGGACATCCTTATTATGGGATTTCTCGTTACAGTTGGCAATCTTTATATGGGAGTTATCGTTATAGTTGGTCATCTTTATATGGGATTGATCGTTGTAGTTGGCCATCTTTATATGGGATTGATCGTTGTAGTTGGCCATCTTTATATGGGATTGATCGTTGTAGTTGGCCATCTTTATATGGGATTGATCGTTGTAGTTGGCCATCTTTATATGGGATTGATCGTTGTAGTTGGCCATCTTTACAATGTATGGGATTAGGGAAAGCAGTTTCCTGTAAGGGCAAACAAATATACCATGTATGGTCATACAGCTGTGCACCTGTGAAGTTGACAACTACTGGTAGGGGAGGAAGTGGGGGGGGGGCGCAAAACGCTCTTAAACCCTCAGAACAATGTGTGCATCAAAAAAAAAAAAAGAGAGAGTTTCAACATTCATTAACTACTTGTGATTTTCTCATATAATTTTGTTTCAGATTAACTCTGAACGTATCGTCCCCACCGCAAGAAAATAGATGGCACACTCTTTTTATGAACGAAAGTATTACCGGTGACATGACATAAAACCACGCGTTCATGTAAAGGTATTTGGTTCAAACTAATATTTCTTTTATTTTACGTCCACTCTAACAGAGAGAAGAACAGCATCAAAAAGCGATAGAGAACTCCAGGAAAGCCTTCACCAAAGTGACGCATCACAGCCGTGCCGTGTCCCCAATCGAAGGGACCGCCAATAATAAATTTCTGAAAAATCGAAAGGAGAGTTGGTCGCCTCGGGCATCAACTGAAGAGCTGCCGCCATATTTAAGGGACGAGTTATACCGTCACGAAAATATCTGCCATACGTCACCGAGACCAAACAAGTACAAACTAATCGGAAAATATATCGATCAGGTCTCATTTGTGGGGTTTTTCGTTGTGTGGTTCGGTGTAACTGTGGGATATATGTTAAATATTTCTTTGAGTTAAGTAGGTCAACTGTTAAAAAGTATGTCAGTTTACCCTATACATTAGTATACCACACGGTTGCCGATGCCTGTAAATGTACAGACAATCCGTACTAAACAATGGTGAGGCCGGTGTGAGGTTGTGTTAAAACCTGCTCTAGCTGTACTTCAAAGCTTTGGTGTGAGGTTGTGTGAAGTCCTGGTGTGACGTTTAAATAAAATATCCTTGTGACGTTTTTTAAGACCCTGGTGTGACGTAGTTGAAACACCTGCCGCAGGCCTAAACATTGTCTAAAAACTTCAGAATAATGATGAATAAGTTTCTTATTTAAAAAAAAAAAAAAATTCACAGCCCTTTAAACACACCTTTTAAAAAAATTATTATTTGAAGCTCGAAAAACTATAACCTATATATATATATATATATATATTATATATAAACTACTGCCAAGGGAGGTAATCAAGAGTATTTTAACATTCACAAAGCTAGCTCCCATGTTAAGTGTATTTTTTATTGAATGGCGTATTATTCTCTTAACTATTCACCTTAAAAATGGGGCAGGCAACCGAGTTTAGTTGGAAACTGAAGGGGTACCGGTACCGAAACTCTTCGGGTTAGATTTTTTGACAAACCGCCCGAGACAAGCCCACATCGACCTAATCATACTGAGTACTATGGCCTACGTCACCGCAGCACAGTTGACACTCGCTGAGTACTACGGCCTACGTCACCGCAGCTTAGTTGACACCAGTGTTTCTTTCAAAAATTTTCCGGGGGGGGGGGGGCTTTAAAGATTTTCGGAGGAGCGGTTTTTATTGTTGGACATATTTTTGCTCCCGGGGGGGGGCACTTGGCTTTCCCGGGGGGGGGCACTGCTCCCCCCCCCCCGAGATATAGCTGAAAGATACCCTGATTGACCCTCCTTGTATAAAGTAATTTTTTTGGTGTTAGATTTATGCTAGTAAATGTTATTTTAAAAAATTAATTAATTCACAACTATTATGTGTTGTTTTTCAAAAATTGTTTTGTTAGTGCCTTCACATATTTTGATTGCTACAACTTTTTAAACAATAAAATGAAAAACTAAAGTTAAAACAAAGAATTATACTGTAATTTACAGTGCTAGTGATAAGGGGCTGTCCATAAAGTACGTCGCGCTCCGGAGGGGTGGGGGGGGAGGGGGTGTAAGAACGTGTGACAGTTTGTGACAGGGGGAGGGGGGTCAGACCATATGTGACGTCACACATTTATTTTTTTAAATTTTATTTCTAATTTATTATTTATTTTTTTAGTAGAATTTAATGGCAATTAATGTTCAAAAAATTTATGAAACATTTGAATTAGTTTTATGTCAAAATAGCATGAAATGCGTTTCTCCTGAATGTGTTGACTGTGACAACTGTTGACAGTTAACTATTCTACTATTAAAGTCATTTTAATAATTTGATAGTTCTTTTAAGTGGAAATTTTATATTTTAATACACTTTAATAGTGAAGTGTGTTTTAGATTAAATTTTAATTAGGTGTAAATTTTAAAAAAATTTGTTCGAAAGTGTGACGTACTTTAGGAGGGGGGGGGGGTCCGAGATTTGTGACAGGGGGAAGGGGGTAAAAATGGTAAAAAAATAGGGTGATGTACTTTATGGACGGCCCCTAAGTCTAAAAATAAGACCGATGAAAAAATCCAACCCTTTCTTCTATAACTATATAAGTGATAGGTGCAAAGCTAAGTGACAGCCCTTTCCAATAGTTTGCTTTCTGTGCATGTTGGATGATTTGAAATTTTCAGCTTGAGTACGGGTAACGATAGAAAATTAGAATTTAAAAGTATATATTGATATTGTTGCAATGAAAATACAATACTAGAACCAACGATATGATTGCATATTAATTTTCGTTATTGCTTTGATTCTAGCGAAATTTAATTCATGAAGTGATTACATTTATCGTTAAATTTTCAGTTGTCAATTTCCAGTCATCTTAATGCACTACATTGACACACTTTGATCAAATAATTAATGATAATGCTTTGAATCTGTCCTCGGATTTGAGTTGTAATCTTTTACGCAATATTAATGTTAAACGTCATTTCCACACACAACCTCTTTTATTTAATATACACCTAACTGGCAAGACGCATTCACCTTACTAACAATAACTAGAAAACCTAAGTGACTGTACTGAAACTAGTAACGATTTTTTTAAAAAGCTGTCCGCGTCTATCACGACGTCTGTTTGTACTTGTCGAGATACGGTTTCTGTTTCTAGGTGAAAAAGATTAACAAGGGCAAAAATCCTCTGCTTCTTCGGCCAGATGGGCTGTCCTATAGAGTAAGTAGGGCTAGGCTAAGGGTTTATGAAATCAAAGGCCCTCAAAATTTAAGAGGCCTTATTTTATTGACATTATACAATTAACACCCTGCCCTATTTTAAAATTTGACATACTATACCGGTACAACTAAACCGTCTCCACCTACGCTGTCTGCGCAAACTTCTTGACATAAGGTGGCAGGACTAATGGGCTGACTTTATCAGCATCCACACGCTCCTACTAAAAGGGCAAGCCAGGTTGGCAGGGCTCATTGCGAGAATGCCAGACAGCAGACTTCCTAAAAGACTAATATTCGGTGGACTCTCCAACTGAAAACGTTCAGCTGATAGGCAAAGGGGAAAAAAAAGCTTCACTTAAATTTAAATCCATGGACATTGACCTTATTTCATGGGAAAGCCTTGCTGACGAAGCAAAATCCTCATGCAGAGAATAAACGCACAAATCATGCCCAAAGAAAGCGCAAGGCAAGAAAAAGCAGAACCATCTCAAACCCTACTAGGACCCAAAATAGGACGGGCATGCCACCTGCGTACTCACCATTGAATAAAGCCTTGGTCATCTTCATCAGTATCCTGCGTACTCGACATTGAATATAGCCTGGTCATCTTCGCATGCGAAGGACGAACAACAACAAGAAGATTATATATATAATATATATATATATATATATTTAAAAAATAATGTATGTATGAATGTCCCATATGCGTTCCTATACCATTCATCCGATTGCGATAAAACTTTGTTAAGTTGTTATGCGCCCTCCTGCAAAGGTTTCTGATTTGGGTTATCCATTTTGAAATATTCCTTTTGGGGTCGGGAGCCCTAAATTATTTTTTTTCTTATTTAAGCTATAAAATATAATTTTAAACAGAGCTATTGCATGGGTGGATGGAATTTAATCTAATACAAATAACGAAATTTCAGTTTGTATGTGACATAACCAGTAGGTTTCTGAAATATTTAAACCATTTTACAATTTTGCTTTTATGGCCGGAGGTCTTCATTTTGTATATATTTGCTGGTCCAACAATTTGGAACCCCCTCCCTGTCGATCTCAGAAACTACTTGACATTGGAGTCCTTTAAAACTGATTTAAAGACACATCTATTTCGCAAACACCTTCTGGGATGATTGTCTACCATATCTTCCATTTAATGCACATTGGCTGTGTTGCTTAGGGTTGAAATGGCTAGAAAGACTTTGACTTGGTATGCTTGTAATTCGTTTTTGTAGTGTTGCGTTTGTTTTAAATGTGGTAAATTATAGATTTGTTTTTTGTTGACTTTGTACCGCGCTTCGAGCCTTTGGGGATGAAGCGTGTTATTATTTTTTTTTTTTTTGTGAGCTATATAAATATAATTTTAAACAGAAAGACTGCGTGGGTGGATCAATTGCTACAAATGTGTGAACTAAATTTTAAAAATCCAAGCCTCTCACCTATGTTGCCTGCTCACGTGTCGAAAAACTTTCTAATTTATTGGCGAACGAACCAGGCGGAAAAACACACAAAAATATTTTTCAATTTAAAAACGAAATTAAAACACAAACAACAAGCTTTAAACAGCCCGCTATTACCAGGTACTAATAATATGTATCAATCTATCTTGAGTAGGCAAGGTTTCCGTAAAACAAAGCTTCTAACAATGTATTTCAGCATACCCAGTATATAAATATTATAAGGTTGTTCGGGAGTCGACCATGACCACTTTAATCATCAGATCTGTGCTAGTTCTGTTTGTGGGTGTTATAGAGAGCTTGTTTTTCTCGTGCGTGCCCTCTGATTGACCCCGCATGAGACGCTGTGTTCACAAAGGGGTGTGGCTTAGGTCTTTGAAGTGGCTTGTTTACAGTCGGCTTCCAATTACGCATTGGGTAGATTGTTTTCGGGTAATTTCTGGAATATACTCCTTAACCCGAGAGATGTAAACAACACGTCATAAGCCCTTCTCGAAGCATCTTACTCTACATATATATAAGAGATTGACAGGCACGAGGGGACGGAGATTTTTCACATAGATTTTCTTAACATTACGAGGCGTGTTTTATTCTTTGTGTATTTGTGTGCTCCTACTTATATGTGTTTATTCCGCATTATTTATTGGCATCATTATTTCTAATTGTATTAAGTGTGTACCGGTACGACATCTGCCATACTGTAAGTTGAAGATTGTAATTTTATTTTATTTTATTTTGTAATTATCTTTAGACATAATAAATCTTAATTAATTGTAACTAGAAACTGTTTTGGGTCGTATCTTTAATAATTGTTGATTCTATGGTATCGTCCTTTGTTAGGCACTGTTTACATCGAGC